ATGAACTCGATAATGCTGAATATTCTCCAAAAGCATACTTACTTGCAAATAACGTTGGTCTGGTCTTTATGTCTTTACAAAATTTGGACAACGTTAATGCTTGACGTTACTGTATTAGTGCAAATGGGCTGCCTGTGTAATAGCTTTTAAATGTCAATCAAATATTTATCATTATAGAAATAGAATTTTATCTTAAAAATGAAATAACAAATAATTTCTTTTTTAATACCATGAGACTCCCCTCCCTGAAAAAATAATTGTTCTGTGTTCTACGCGGGTTCTCCATTGCATGCGAAGCAATGGCCGACTTCACGAAGACTTCAGAAGGTCGTTGAAGCGACCTTCAAGTCCAAAGTATCTTAGGAGGAAACATTGCAAATCCTTTTTCTTAGCTCTTATTTCCCTCTAAGCTTTGAGGTATCTACAACATCACTGGAAGAGCTAGAGCAGCTTAGCTCCACGTATTCCAATAGAGTTAAAGCGTTTGTTATTTCCAGTGGTACAAACAACTGTCGTAGTTCATCCTTTGTCGCATTTTTGGCAATGAGCCGCAAGCGTGCTCGATTTGACGTTATGTAACAGGTCAGTTACACCACATTTACTAGCTTTGAACTTACTACGAGAGCTAGAACGGGTTTTTCGTGTAATGTCTTGATAGCGACTGTTTATGTCGAGACGACTCAAAACAAAATTACATCGTGAAAAAAGTTCGATTTAATTCCCTTCTGAAAAACACACGYGTATTTAAAGTGGAAAATGTTTCATATGAGCATTCAATTCTTAAAAGTTTAATTCTATAATCATTTTGTTTAGTTATGTAAATAAATTTATCACGACTTGTACTGTTTATCTGAGTGAAAGGCGAGCTGCGGGTTTTCCCTTTTCCAGCTTTTCTTTATCTACACTTTCAAATATGACCGCTTAACAMAAATGCACGGGCTCACTGGCTTACAACCTTGGCGAATTCATATGYAGGCCTGGTCGYAAATCAATCASCCAGATTATTGCTCAATAAAGATTATTCATTAGACCTTTTAAAAAAAGTAATCAAAAGTCACTAGGGTGTCTTAACAGATTAATAAAATGTTTGTCACGAAAGCGCTAGGATCGACAACATTTGCCTATTGTTCTATAAAGCTTGYGTCAGTTGTGTTCGTCGGGGATCCCTGTGTTTCTCACAAYTGGGTTTSCTTTGCACTATTCATGGRAGTGAAAAGTACAARGATGGCCGTTCGTTAGGAATATCTGCAAGTTTCTGRMGATTCGGGGCTTAAAATGGCCATGTTCAATCTGTATCCCTTAGACGAGTTTTGTTTGTATAAAAATATATAAATGAATCGTAACATAAACGTGAAAATCTTTACTGATTTATTGTAAATTTATCGGCTTGGTTGTGAATGGAGGTTGTGAATGGAGATCAGAAAAAAGCTTTAAAAAAATTCAAACATTGTATTCCATAGGATTGTGAGCTGAGACAACTTCCTGTGGGTGAAATTTAGGTCGGCACAGCAGGTCTGAATGCGAAATATGTCCCTCATCATCAATTTGATATTTGGTAATTCGAATTAAAGACCCTCCTCGGAGACTTTTTAATGCATAAAAGTTTAGTAATGAATAGAAAGTTTGTAATGAATGGAACAAGTCTTTGAAACTCTWTCTATCAGCTTTAAAATAACAATTTTACATGAAGTTAACTTAAACTCTGGAAAACCAGATTACGGATCATTTCAATAGTAATTCCTTCACTTGTAGAAAAAAAAACCTTCAAAATTGTTATAGACTGGATCTGCTAAGATCATCAGTAACTGGCTCTTTTAGAAACAGCTGGACAAATGGTCGAACGATGAACAATGTTTTCGATTATTAAGTATTACCGAAAAAATTGCATTTGGATTTCACATGCAATATTGAAACACTTAGTGCGTTTTAATTGATAATTCTTCGTCAGAATTAACACGAAATATTTCTGTTCAACACGACAATAAAATGTCCTGTCGGGAAAATTGTTAATAAGTTTAGTGAGGTCACATCCTATCAATTAAAATCAGCCTCTTTTCTTTTTGATATGTTGTCGAACAAGGAACAGATATTATTGCATCTTGACATTTGAAAAAGATGGCTTTCATTCCTACATCTTATTTAGCTGGTTTAGCCGTCTTGTTGAGTGTCCAGCACAGCGTCAGCTACTATAATCGTGAGGCAGGACTCCTTTTTGATGCTTATCCAAAACAAAAACTCTCTCTTCCAAACGGTGTGGATGGCGTTAAGCCTAACAAGTCAGTCAGTGTCAAAGACAAGATGGACTGTGTTTTTGCGTGCATCAACGTTCCCTGGTGTCGTTCGGTGAATTTGCAGACCACACCCCTTAAAAGCGGACTTTACTTCTGCCAGCTTTTATCGTCCGAGCAATTTGCACACAAGGAATACATGAAAAAGAACAGACTGTATCTTCACTACAGTGTTAAGGTAAAGCATGGTCAGTTGAAAATCATAGTACGCCAAATTTCTTAATTGTTTTCGTTTTGAATTGATTGTACTCAGTACTCTTTTCTTGAAGTCATTTTTATTCTTTTTCTTGATCTTTGTTCAACAAACTTTAATGTTTTGGCTAATTGTGAAATACAGACAGGCCTTCGTTTGTTGTTGTTGAACGTAAAGCCCCAATACTATCAAGAAGCCCGCGGATTTGTCATGGAAAGACACACAAAAAGTTAACGAAAAAAATATATTTTATTGTAATACAGTCGCTGACGAAAAAAAAATATTTTATTGTAATACAATTGCTGAGACAATTTAAAWAAGAGTTCAGCTATTCTTTTTCCGTTAATAATTAAAGTAATGCCAAATAAACTATAAAGTATAGCTCAGCGTTCTGAACGGATGATAGCGAGACCTTGTCCATTTTCTGCCTTTGGATAGCATTTTTCTMTCTTATTTAACTTCAGAATCCTTGCCAAAAGAATCCATGTCGTAATGGCGGTAAATGTATTCTCCAAGACAACCGACAAGAATATCAATGTAACTGCTCGAAAGGATTCATGGGAGATCAGTGTGAGATAGGTAAACTACTGGTTTGTGCATGTTTCGCTTGCATTTCATCTAAATAGTGATTCAGTTGTCGTCTTACGAGCGGCGTATTTTGTTGTCATCAAGCAACTTGCTTATTATTTATAACAAACGCGATACAATAGATTCGGGTATCCATAGAAAGGCTMCTTGAAACTTTCAAAAATTGCTTGGTTGCTTTTGRTTTCATTAGATTGCTGTTTCAGTCTAAGCGGAGTTTGTGCTAGTTTAATCTCAGTTCGTTGGTGTTTGGATTCGTCACAATTGATCATTGACTGTTTTTGTGGAAATCAAAATATGCATTCCTCTTCGTTTATTTATATGTTTTGCCTATTTTTACTTTCTGACTCACTTTTCTCACAAGTCAAAATCTACTTTTAAATAAATTCCGCAGATGTCAATGAATGTACAGCAAGCCAGCACAACTGCCATGCCAATGCAAGCTGTTCTAATACCGTGGGCTCATTTACTTGTGCTTGTAAGCCTGGCTACCAAGGGAACGGTCGCTCGTGTTCAGGTATCGTTGTAATCTTTCTTTGTCTGTTTATGGCCACGTTTTCTTTCTAATTTCGCTTCTCGCAACAACAGATATCAATGAATGTACAACCAGCCAGCCCAATTGTCATGCCGATGCCCTCTGTACCAATACCGCGGGCTCATTTTCTTGTGCTTGTAAGGCTGGTTACCAAGGAGACGGCCAATCATGTGCAGGTATTCCGCGCAATCTTTGTTTCGACGTTTCATCTCTTATTCGTCAAATTCTACTTCTTAATTTACAGATATCAATGAATGTACAACAAGCAAGCACACTTGCCATGCCGATGCTGTATGTAACAATACCGCGGGYTCATTTRCTTGTKCTTGTAAACCTGGTTACCAAGGGGACGGCCGGTCATGCTCAGGTATTGCGATATTTATTTAACTCTTTCCTACTTATTAGTAAAAATCTCCTTTTTCAAATACACAGATGTCGATGAATGCACAGCAAGCCAACACAAGTGTCATGCCAGTGCAAGCTGTTCTAATACCGCTGGCTCGTATACTTGTGCTTGCAATCCTGGTTACCAAGGAGACGGCATTTCCTGTTCAGGTATCTTTGTAAATTTTTTTCTTCTTTCTTTTTTTTCTTATCATTCAGACTCCAATTTTTAATTCCACAGATATCAATGAATGTACAACAAGCCAGCACAATTGTCATGCCAATGCCCTCTGTACCAATACCGTGGGCTCGTTTACTTGTGCTTGTAAGCCTGGTTACCAGGGAAACGGCCGATCATGTGGAGGTATTCTTGCAATCTTCCCTTGCATTTTTGTAATTTTTTCCTGTTCCGGATTCAATTTCCAACTTTTT